GAGCTCCTTTATTCCTTTCCATCAAGCTCCATCCCTCTGCAGCCTGAACCCCCACGACATCAGAGCAGTGAGGATGGAAGTGCTGCAAGAATGAGGTCTAAAAAGAAAGAAATTAAAAAAAAAAAAAAAAAGAACTTTTACAGAACCAGTTGGCCACTATTTGCCTGTGAAGTTCTGAACCACTCTTAGAACTTCAGTGCTGGAGTCATAAATGGCTTTATTATTGTGGAGGATCAAAGTACCAAGCTCCACAAGAGCAGGAAACTTATCTCCACTGGGCCTTAATGAACTTTTTGCCCAGATTCAGCACTTTTGAGAATGAGTCCCCACTTTTATTGCAGCAACACCTGCAAAAAATCAAGTTTCAGTGACCAAAGAATCATCTCCACTGAACAGCCACTCCTTTTTTTTTTTTAGCTACATCCTATGCCAGTGGGCCAGACCAAAAAACCCATCTTTTATCATTTGAGCCACTGTCCAACTCACAATTCTGCAACATCATCACTTTTTGAAGGCAACCACCACCTGGCTGCCTCCAAGAGCTGCTCAGTAATTTGGGATTTATGGCCTGGCTCTATGAGCACATGTTTCCTGGCAAATGCACCCAAATTCACTGCAGGATTCCAGGCATTCAGTTAGAAATTTAAAAGCACTGGACTTGAGAGCATCACCTCGTTCTGGTAGCGAGGCTTTGAATGTGTTTATGACCTCGGGCTGAGGGAGTTTGAAGCTTTGGCCATGCTGAGTCTTCAGCAGAAGCAGGGCTTTATCTTCCTTCAAGGCACTGGTTGGGAGCAGTGTCCTACCAGTCCATGAAAGTGCAAATTGAACAGCAAAAAAAAAAAAAGCTGATTTTCAAATCAAAGGACCTTCAGCAAGTTTGAACACAGGAGGGCTACGAATGAATGGTTATAAAAACAGGTCAATAAGTTTTTCTCAGTTCAGGAACTTTTCTTATTCTGCTTTTCCCCTTCTAGAGTTCCCATCTGCAGCCCTGCTGGCGAGTACAGCCCCCCTGCCAGAAGGGAAACCACAAGAAACGATTGGTGTGAAATTCAGCAGCAGCGGCACACCCAGCTCGGGGGGGGGGGGGGGGGGGGGGGGGGGGGGGGGGGGGGGGGGGGGGGGGGGGGGGGGGGGGGGGGGGGGGGGGGAAGGTGGGACTTCAGCTCAGAACAATTAAGCCCCAACTAATCAGCAGGACAAAGCTCAGCCCAAACTCCAGAAGGCAACCAGAAGTTCTGGAGACCTCAAGAGAGGATTCAGAGCCCCCAGAAGGGGTTTAAGATGAACCCTGGGATAGTTCCTAAACACGCTGGTGGTGTCTCAAGGTGGACCCCCAGGATTTAAAGCACCCAGAAGTCACCAGACACTTGGACAAATACTTCTTTTCAAAGGAAGAAATAAGATAAGGAAGAACTTTACAAGTCTTGGTCACGTCAGTGATGCCTTTGAAGTCCACAGGATTAGTTTCACCAGGGGTGACTTAAGGAACAGAACAGAAATCACCAAAAATCCGAGAAGACAGAGTGGATTAAAAAAACAAAAATAGGGCTATGGAAGCAAAAAGTAGCACAGGCAACTTTCACATCAAATAAACTGCAGAGACAGCAATAAAAGCTGGGAAATAAAGTGTACATAACCATATAATACATGTATACAAATAATCTTCCCAGTGTCTCTGAAGAGACAAAACTTTCTGGGGGTCAGCAGTGCCAAGATTTTGCTTCTCCCTGTTGGAAATCTTCTATTTCTATTTCTATTCTATTTCAATTTCTATCAACATGATGAGCTGATAGAATGGCAGGCCCAAGGCAAGCAGCAAGTCGAGACAAATGTGAATTTTGCTCTGATTTGACAGCCTTTGATCACAGACAGCTCTGCAGGTGGGTGGAAGTGGAACCTGCTGGCCCGGAGAAACACTCCCAAATCCAAGGCTGAGCAGGAGGATCTCACCCTGCAGCACCCTCTGCATGTCCCCTGCCATCAGTCACCCCCTTGGCTGGCAGGCACTGGGTCACATTTGGGGAATTATTGCCATTCCTGAGACGTGAGGCAGCTGATTGTGAGCAAACCAGCACGTGGTGTTTGGGCAGAGCAAACACTTCCCGTGCCCTGAGCAGGGAAAAATGGGATGGGCTGGAGAGGCAATCACCACAGTGAGGGGGGGAATTACCTGTCAGGGGTCCAGCAGGATAATCTGCCTGCTCCTTCCCCAGCTCTGTGAAACAGCCAAAGCACTTGCACCTGGATCCATCATTCCCACCCTGGCTGAAAACTCCTTATGCTCCACGTTAATAATTTTAAAACAAGTCGATAATGGGAGTTAAAAATCCCAGACAGGAATTCAGGTATCCTTCCCTTCAGAGCACAGTTGTTTGAGCGAAAGGCATTCTGCAAACAGCAACTTCTTTTCCAGAGAAGCACTTGACAGATTAACTCATCTCCTTCAGTTTGGCCCCAAAACTCACCAACTGTCCGAGAAGATGCACCAGGTAGTAACTCTGACTCCTAAATGAGGTCGAGCCTGTTGCAAGGAAGCTCAGTAAGACCCAGACAATCCTGTTGCTCAGAGAGACAAGATGCTGCCCATCAGCTGCTCCTTTCACAAGGCTGCAGCTTCCAAAGGCCCATCTGTCACTTGGGTGAAAATTCACTGCAAGTGAGAAGCTCTAAGCCATTTGTCTCTCACATTTCCCTAAAAACGCTGCCATTCCCAACTCTGCCCTCCCTTCTGTCTGCCATCCCAAACCTGGCCCTGTGTGCCATCTGTCCCAGCCACGGGGAAAGGGCTTTAACCAGCTCAGGGCAAAACTGAGAGGCAGCAAATCAATTCAGGAACCTGTAAAATACAATCCAGGACACAAACCCTTCTGAAGTGCAAAAAAAAAAAAAAAAAAAAAAAAAAAAAAAAAAAAAAAGAAGAATAAAAAACCCCAGACAAGTGACATTGAATCACATTGTTTACTTCTTGGAATTTCTTACTGCATTGGCATGACTTCCAGGGCTGTGATTAAAATAAATGCAAGCAGTTCTGCAGTAGTTCCTAAGGCAGAAATCCCCAACAAACAGAATATTTAGGGTTGGGAGGGCCCTGTGGGGATCGCCCAGCCCAACCCCCCTTGCCCAGGTGACACAGGGACATGTCCAGGTGGGGTTGGGATGTCTCCCAAGAGAGGGGAGAGAAGTTCTGCCTCCTGGTGAGGTGGAGCTTGTGGGGGTTCAATTTATGGGCATCACTCCTTGTGCTGTCACTGGGAAGAGTCTGGGACCATCCCCTGACCCCCACTTGGAGATATTTGTGTGGATTGATTGATCCCCTCCCAGCCTTCTCTTCTCTTTCTGGACAGAATGAAGTTCTGGTTTTGCCCTTTCACAACTGGCTGGAAGTTGTTTTAACCATCCCACGGCCTGACAGGGCCAGGCACTGCAGAAATCCTTCTCCTTCCTGCCTGGGGATCACCCTCAGCAGTGCTGGCTGCCAGAGAGGAGCTGTCACAACCAGCAGCTGGCTCAGGGCAGCACAAAAAAAAAAACCCAAAAACTCACCCCGGAAGCCAAGAGAGAAAGGGAGAGAGGAGTGCCTGTGATTCATCCCACTGCCCAAGGCCATGGTGGGTTGTAAGAACTGCCCTGCTCAGAGGTGTGCTCAGAAAAAAAAAATAAAAAAACAAACCAGCATAACCCAGCAGAGCCAATCAAAGCAGCCAGGACGGAGTTTACCCGATTGCAACAGCAAAAGTTTGGGAAGTGCAGATGCTCAACCTCCCCAAGCCACGCAGGCATTGCCATACACAAACCCTGTGGGCTGTTCCCTCCCCAGAAAGAAGCAAAGTTCAGGGTGCACAACCCTCCACACCCTCCCAGTTACCTGGAGAAACCAGATAAGGCTGTGCTGGGCGGAATATCCCTGCAGGTTTAAGCCCCAACAGTCCTGAGAGGAGGGAGCTGCTTCCCTGCCACTTGCTGGAAACACCACTCGAATTCACACTGTGAAAACCCTGCAGGACGAGGCTTTTCACCTTCACACTCACGGACTGAACAACCTCAAGGGGGTTTGGGGAATTACCGCTTTCGCAAGCGTGAAATTACTCGTTTCTTCTCACATCAAGAAATCCACCGCTGAGCACAAGTGGCAGGGAAGATCACCCTTCATTAAAACGAACTACCAGAAGCTGTTTATGTCATTAGCGGTTTCCTGTCGATTGTTCTCTGCCCAACTCTCCCCAGCCAACCTCAAGAGTGTGGGTTTCAATTTGTCAAAGCTCTCAAGAAAAGCAGAACTTTATCAGCAACACCAAGGGGTTATTTCCTCCTAGAGAAACGCCAGCCCAGCACCAAAAAAAAACTTCTTTTAAACATCGAGGGGGACGGGGCAGAAGGTGCAATGTGTCAGTCATGGAATCCTGGAACGGGTTGGGTTGGAAGGGACCTTAAATCCCATCCAGTGCCACCCCCTGCCATGGGCAGGGACATCTTCCACCAGCCCAGGATGTTCCAAACTCTGCCCGACGTGGCCTTGGGCACTTCCAGCCAAAGCTTTCACCGCTCCTCACCCTCTGTCAGCATCCCCAGCCCCTGGCAAAGATGTCACCCACAACCCTAAATCCGCCCCTTACAACCTCCTCGTCCTGCCACCACCTTTAGGAGCCACATCCTTTGGGGGATGGCAGGAGTTGTTTTTAGTGCCGTGCCGGAGCTCCCTCTCCAGCGTAAAAATCAGGATGGAGAGGCAAAATTCCAGAGGGATTCCTGGAGCTCCCCGGGTGCGAGCTGGGCACACACCTCCATTCCTCCATCCATCCATCCATCCATCCCTAAGGATTCGGGGAGTGAACACCTGAGAGCGGCGAGTCCCGGGCGTGCCAGAAGAATCCCGGGATGCTCCGGGACAGGAGATCCCTGGAAATGCCCGCGGGGAGAGGAAGGGAAGGAAGGGAGGGAGGGAGGGAGGGAGGGAAGGGGAGCTCGGGGTGGGGAAGGTCCCGTCTAACACTCACCGACCCCGTACTTCTCCCGCTTGGTGGGGATCCAGCGGGCCATTCCGGAGGGTTTCCCAGGGCCGGGCTCGGCTCGGGGGTAGGGGAGGGGGGATCTCGGTCACCGCAGCCCCTCGCCCGCCACCTCCCCGCGCTGCTGTGGGGGGCCCGACACCCCGGGTTGCTCCTCCATGCTCCGAGAAACGCTGCCAAAACCAAAATAAAAGAGAAAAAAAAACAACCCACAAACCCCAAAAACTACCCGGCAAACGCCCAACTTCGCTGCCTCCCCCGCAGCAGCGCAGGGAGGAGGAAGAAAAAGAAGGAGGAGAAGGAGGAGGAGGAGAAAGAGGAGGTGGCTCCTCTCCCCGCCCCGCCGGGCATCACCTGCCCCCCGCACGGCACCGCCCCGAGCTGCGGGACACGGCGGGGACATTCGGGGAAAGGCTGGAGAAGTGGCTTCCGTGGGATTGCTGGGAGTGTCCGAGCGCGGAAATGACCCTAAATGCGGGTTTTTGTCCCAGGTTGAGGGATCGGGGGAAGGGTTGGCGCTCCGGTCACGGCGCGAAAAGCCTGTCCCCTAAAAGCGTTTGGGCAGCGTTTGGGGTGGGGGTTTTTGGTGAGATTTGGGGTGTCCTGTGCATGGCCGGGAGTGGGACAGCGTGATCCTCGTGGGTCCCTCCCTGCTCGGGATGTTGTGTGATCCTACAGAACCACGGGATGGTTTGGGTTGGAAGGGATCTCAAAGCTCCTCTGGTTCCATCCCCCTCCCCCTGCCCCGGGCAGGGACACTTTCCTTCCCCCAGAGCGGGTCCGTTTTGAAAAGTAATCCATTAATAGCTAAGAAAACAAAGGGGTTGCATTAGAAGTACTCCAGGAATCTGGGAAGCGGTCCCAGCGCTGCGCTTTGCAGGAGACTCGATGTTCCAGAGACTGACCTGGCGCTCGGTGACGTCCACCCCTCCTTCCCTGCCCTGCTGGGCAGCTGGGACACCAGAAAAGGATTTCCAGCTGGAGAGGGACCTCAAATGTCTCCCAGTTCCACCCCCGTGCCGTGGGCAGGGCACCTTCCCTCTTCTGGGGAAAGCAATGAGAGCGGTGATAAATCGGAGTATTTTAACACTTTAAACATGAAAATCTGGGGAGATGGTATTTTTTTTATCATTTTCCATCCCAAGGGAGAGGCACTAAGCAGTGTTATTGCTCAGCTCCTGGGGTGCCCCTTTAGATCCCTCAGATTCCCAGCTTTGCATGGGCAGCCCAGTTTTCCACACTCTGTCCTCTCCCACCTGTTGTTTCCAGTTAAGTTTATTTTCCTTGATCTTCGCTGGTGCCTCCGAGGGGCAGAGCAACATAAATAAGGATTAATTACGGGTAATTTGCTCCAACAAGCGAACTTTGCCAGCAGAAAGTTACACTCAAGGACACACTGGCTATCACAATCAGCACAGGCTCGGTGCACAATACACTGATTTTTTTTTAAAGTCTGGACAGCCAGAGAGGTTCAGCGTGCTCTTTCAGTGCTCAAACAGCACCTTCAGAGTGTGGAAGGGGAAAAAAAAAACAAAACACCTTCAGAGTTTCTCGGGGTAGGACTTAAAGGAAAGCAAGAAAAGATTTGCAAGCTGGAGCTGGTTCACTGATTTGTTATTTATAAAACAACAACTCAGATGTTGTGCTGGCCCAGAAAATCGGGGTTTTTTTGTGCACAGAACCCTCCAGTTCCTCTGGTTAAAGGTTGAGTGGGGCCACTCAAGGTATACACAACACGCGGCAGGGGGAGCATCCAGGATGTGGGAAGAGAAAATATTGATGGATTTTTGCAAATCCTTCCGTGCTGGAAGATCCACGCTGAGTCTGTTGGTGGAAAGTGAATTTTGTTTCAATTTAAATGCGTTGTGAAACTTGAACAGAAGGAGCAGTGTGGCTGGGCTGTCAAGACAAGTAACCACGATGGTTGTTCTGGGGCTGGTCTTGGACCACCTGGATTCCCAAACACTCCCTGCTCTGACTGGGGGTGGAACTGAGAGCCCAGAATTTGGATTTTTTCCTTTCAGATCCTTGATTTTTTTTTTTTTTTTTGAGGTAAAAACTGCCTGAGCTGGGCCAGCCTTTTCCAACCCAGGGAAAACAAACCCTTGGCAGCAAATGAAAACCAGAGCAAAGCACCCAAGACAGACAAGTAGCAACTGGAGTGGCTGGTTTTTTAAGTAGGGGAAGGTGGGGGATGTTTCATTAAATTATTATTAAATGATTTGCAAATGTCAGGGGCACGTGAAGGAAGGCAAGCCCGGCAGAGTTGATTTCAGAAAGGCTTTTATTTGGGTTTGTATCCCCAAATAACAGGGTTTCCTTCTCTTTTTTCTTTCTTGCACTGCTCTGGTTGGTTGATTGTGAACAGGCTGGGCCCTGTCCTTCTCTCCCCTGAGCAGGAGAAATAGTTAAATTCTAACTGAGGCTCAATCAGAGCTTAACTCTTGCCCACGTCAACCCCACGCCAGGTCGGAGCTGGAGAGAATTTGGGTGACTAAGATTCATTCGCATTTTTAGTGCACCAGAAGTCCCATCTCTTTTATGAGCTGAAAGGGAAGCATATTTACAAATATTCGGACCGCTGAAGGAAAAGCTTTCTCCATATTTAACATTTCAAAAGGTGAAGTTCAGGGTCGTTGGAAAGAGACTTTTCTGAAGTCCCGTTTAAATGTGTTTTCTCTTTTTTCTTTCTTTCTTTTTTTTTTTCTTGGTGGCAGAACCGAAGCTCAGAAAAACGGAATTCGAGTGCCCTCCTGTGTCCAGAGAAGAACTGCAATAATTAAAGTTTCATCGAACCAACAGAGAAAGAAAGGAAAGGGATTTTCCTGGAAAAACATTTAAGAGCTGTTCTAATCACGAACCTGGATCGTGTCGAGCCGAGTTCTGTGCTTACACCAACAGAAAAGGTGGCACTTTAATAAGGAAATATAAATTCATAAATAAATAAATAAACCAGTTTACTTTAAAGCAAGAGAAAGGGCATGGAAACTGTGGAGAGGGGAAAAAATAATATAAATTGAATAAAAGCTACAACTAAAGCCATGTGCTCCTTAATTTAATCAGTCAGTCCCTCTAGAAGATGAATGATCGAGTCTGGTAAGAAGTGAACTCTTAATTTTCAACCACCAGCACAATCTGTAAATAAAAAGCAGCAGAGTAGGGTGAATAAACAATTAAACATGCAAATACCCACGCCACAAATAGGAGTAAACAGTGGGGGTTTTCCATCTGCCTGTGCATGTTTTAACATGGCCCAATATTTAACATATTATCTGAAAATCTTAGGGCCCAGATAGGTTAGATAGGAATATTTCCACTGCACTTTTTTTTTGTTACCCAAATAAGGCAAATATTGGTGTGATATAATGTCAGTTTTGTCGCTTAATTCTCGTTACCCTCTTGGCAGTTCATTCTGGGGCCAGAATTACTGGCCAGAGTTGGGTTTAGCACTTGAAACTAAAAAGGTGTTTGGCCCAACACTTGAGGAGCTGAGGGATGCTCAGGGTATAACAAGATGAGAAATTCAGCGAGATTTGGGGTATTTTAGGCCGAAACTCTGCTTATTTCCACCAGTAGGAACCCAGGCTGAGTTTTCCCTGTCTCCAGAATTATTCCTGCCCCTCTGCTCCTACAGGTGGAGCCCTGAGATGGCCCAACTGCCCCAAATCAAACCCTGCAAACTCCGAATTTCCGCTGTGGCTTCGTGCCACTGCTGCCTCCTCTCCCAGATCACGTGGCAGGTGAACAGGAGGAAGGCCCTGGCAGGCGTTTTCGTTAGGAATGAGTGGCTAATTGCAAAGTGCCTGTCAGGAGGAGCCCCTGTGGTTGTCCATCCATCACAGCTGAGTCCCGGCCATCGACCGCTTTCTGTTGTTTCATGCAGCTCTTACATCTTTAATGGCTCAGGAGCTTCTTCCCGAAAGTGTCCTCAGCAAGGGGAGGTGGGGGGGGGAGAAAATGGTCAGATTTAATCACCATTTCCAAGGCTGGAAATGAGCTCCCATTAATTCTTTAGGAGTTGTGTTCAGCACAGTCGATGATTCCGCTTTTCTTTTTCCTTCTGTGGCCCCTGGGAAGTTTTACCCGTGACAGGTGTTGCTATAAAATGTAGCGTTGCTACCAAATTAAGCCCCTGATTTATTTATTTAATTTTTTTTTTGGCAGGTCAAGAGAGAGCCAAAAGCACCTCTTTGAACTGGAAGGCTGTGACGTGGAATCGGAATCCTGGAATGGTTTGGATTGGAAAGGACCTTAAAGCTCATCCACCAGCCACAGATTTTGTGGCTCAGGCTGATCTCCACTCAGTGTGGGGCTTTAAAGCTCTGCCTGTGCTTTATTTGGTTGCAAACAACTAATGGTTCTTTGAGTGTGTTTTAATGTGCAGTTTAAGGGCTTGTTCTCTGCCCCCTCACTAAAGATAAACCCCCCCGGCTTTACCTGCAGGGTTGGATTTATTTGCAGCAGCAGCAGCTTAAGAGATCTGAATGAGCACAAAGTTTAGGACGTGAGGCAGAATTTAGAATTAAAAAGTAAAATCTGTAGGCTCCTTCTGACTCAGTTCCATTTGCATGGGAATAAACGAGCACAGAACTGATACATTCAGAGCCCTAGAAATGTCTCCATTCATCCAACACTGACTCTTTTTTTATGAGTTTTATCTTTCTGTGTTTTTTTTTTTTTTAAATTCAACTTTATTTCCCTTTTGTCCCATTGAAAAAGGGGGAAAGAGACATATTCCCAGTGCAGGGAATCAAAATTGAGAGACAATGGCAACACAATAATCCCTTTTCCTTGGGCACTGCCTGCTGCTTGCAGTGCTGCTGATAAGGGGCTGGAGAGCTCTAAATGTCCTCTGCAAACCAGTTCTCCCTGCCTTGAAATGGGCTTTGAATCAGCCACAGGACACAGCACGCTGGATGGAGAGCTTTTTTTCTGCTGGAAAAGGGACCAGAAGAGGGAAAAGGGAGCAGAGCTTGGTGCTCTCTGCTTGCCAAGCTTTTACAACTGGCCCAGGAGGGGAAAAAATCTCTGCTGGGGAGGAGTGGAGATTAGTGCTGAGGGCTGTGGAGGTCCCAAAGA